GGAAGAAAATCCAAATCTCATCACAAAGTTGAAGGAGAATGTTACTGCTCTGCGTAAAGGTTTTTCTTCTACTCTTTCCTTTCTATATAATAATTCCATAAAACTTTATCGTTCTTCTTCTAAACTAATTGTGCAGTTTCTGAGTATTATTTCTTTAATATCTCTCTCTAACACTGTGTGAAATTCCAGGTTTATCTGATGTAAAAGGCCTCGAGATAGTCAGTGATCCTGAATCACCAATGGTTTTCCTGAGACTCAAGAAGTCCACAGGATCCTTGAAGGGCGATCTTCGAGTACTCCAAGATATTGTTGATCATGTAAGTGGTTATAATTCTTAACTTACATACTTTTTTCCCTTCATTTATTCATTTTTTCCATTTTTTTTTTACGCATAGTTACAGAAACTATCCTGGAGGTTTTTTAACTCGTTATATTTCTAAATTACCCCATGATTTGGTGTAATTTGGAAAATGGAACTACATTTTAAAGATAAAGGGGATTTCTGTAATTAGGCCAAAATTCATGGGTCAAATTTGCAAGTAACTGTTTTTCTGAGGCGATGTCTTTGTGTTTCTGCAGTTACTGAAAGAACACTCGGTTTTTGTTGCAACTACCAAAAGGTCTACGGTGGACAAATGCAAGTTGCCTGTCGGGATCAGATTATGTGTGTCTGCTGCCCATACAGAAACCGATCTGCAGAAAGCATGCGATTCTTTGAAAAGAACCACTGCCCTTGTATTGACAGGTCAATAACTCGAGTCAGTTGATGTTGATACGACTTCAAAGCGATATACGAGCATGTTTTTACATCATGATTAGTCTATAGAAGAGTATGGGGCCTTGATGTGTGTTCTGGTCTGCTGTGTAACAAGTTTGGTTTAAATCATCCTCTATTTATTTATTTATATTCAGTGGTTTTGGTATTTGTAGTTGTTTTGTACTAAAAGGTATTATTGGATCATGAGACAGGTCCTTGTTATGTAGTTCACCCTTGTATGGAAGAAAATAATATTTTGTCCTGCGGACGTTTGGTTAGGTTGTTTCATTCTACGGGTAACTTTACGAGTTTATTCTTCCACAGGCACAAGGTCAGAAAGATAGATGCCCAAGCGTCGAATATACTTACCAGCCATTTTGGTTAGGTAGTTCACCAGATGGCGGACATTTAATGAAGCATGGTTTACTCTAAATGATGATTACCAACCATTTAATGCTGATTGATAGGTCCTTAATGCAGACATGCCACCCTATGGACCTATGAGTCTAGGCCTGCAAGGTTGGTGGGTACGTCCCATCGACCATCATGAGGCTGCAAGTGGTCTTGTTTTATTATTTCCTGATGTTAAGTGCGCCTCGGAATCTCATCCTTCGAGATCTTTGAGGTCGGACTTGCGTCGTGACTTGAATTTGTTTTCTCCTTTATTACCCTGGGTTCGGGTCTTCTTTATGGTTATGAGCTCTCATTTTTGCCCGTCGGTCTTTGAGTTCGGGTTGTCTGTCGTTGTCCGATGAAGCCGATCTAGTCATCTTATCTGACGAGGCTGGCCCGTGAGCTCTACTTTCTAGGATTACTTAACGCTAATTTGTTTTACCGTGGGGTTTTGTATCTTTGACACATACTTACTAAGTCAGATGCCAACAAGATTGATATAACCATACTTGTGAACTGGAGTCAAGTATGAAGAGATCCGAGCGAAACTGAGGAAGAGCTACCTGAGGAGGTCTGGACAAGACTTGAAGGTCTCGGTGATTAAGTATGAAGTGCTCTCTGCGACTAAGTATGGGAAGTAGAACAACTCTTTACGACTAAGTATGGGAAGTAGACATGCTCTCTGTGACTGAGTATGAGAAGCTCCACACGACTAAGTATGGAAAGTAGACATGCTCTCTGTGACTGAGTATGAGAAGCTTCACACGACTAAGTATGGAAAGTAGACATGCTCCCTGTGACTGAGTATGAGAAGGTCGAGCTGCTCTAAGAAGATAAGTAGAGGTCATCTCGACCTGCTAGACTTGCAAGAGGTCATCTCGACTTGCTGGACTCGTCTTGACCTGCTTGTCAGAGGTCATCTCGACTTGCTAGACTTGTCTCGACCTGCTAGACTTGCCAGAGGTCATCTCGACCTGCTAGAGGTCATCTCGACCTGCTAGACTTGCCAGAGTTCATCTCGACCTGCTAGAGGTCATCTCGACCTGCTAGACTTGCCAGAGGTCATCTCGACTTGCTAGACTCGTCTCGACCTGCTAGACTTGCGAGAGGTCATCTCGTCTCGACTGGACAAGAGGAGCTAGAGCTCAGATCTGCTACTAGGTCTCTGTGACTAGACCTACTATAGAGGTCTCTGTGAATGGAGGTCTCCGCTACTAGACGTCTCTGTTACTAGACGTCTTCTCTACTAGACGTCTCTGTGACTAGAGGTCTCCGCTACTAGACCTCTCCGTGACTAGAGGTCTCCGCTACTAGACCTCTCCACTACTAGACGTCTTCTCTACTAGACGTCTTCATGACTAGAGGTCTCCGCTACTAGACCTCTCCGCTACTAGACGTCTTCTCTACTAGACGTCTCCGTGACTAGAGGTCTCCGCTATTAGACCTCCGCTACTAGACGTCTTCTCTACTAGACGTCTCCGTGACTAGAGTTCTCCGCTACTAGACTTCTCCGCTACTGGACATCTCTGTGACTACAAGAGCATGATCTAGAGGCAGTAATTGGATAATAAAGAATCTTGAGCTGACTAGGAGATGGATGGAATGTGAACCGTCTAGGGTATTTTGGACACTTCAGGTAAACCGACCAGGGCATTTTGGGTACTTCAAGCAGGTAGTTCCCTCTATATAAGGGGCTGAGGTAACCCTAAACCCTAACCTCTACTCATACTATACACTTTCCATCTCTCTGTTGCTGCTGCTATCTGAGAGCAGCTCTCTCCCCCACATTCTATGCATTTCTACATGCATTACAGCTCTACATTACAGAGCTTCATTTTTCTCTCTTCTGTTTACTGACTTGAGCGTCGGAGGCCCGACGCTGGGACCTCTCCCGGCGTTGGGTTCTTGCAGGTGTTTGCGGCGGTCTAACAACAATTTGAAGGCGGTTCAAACAGACCGGAGCTCACAACAACCGGTTTACTCCAGATCTGGAGGTAGACCCATCAAGGATCATGGCCAATTAACTACAAAAAAATAATATTGAAACAATATAACATTTGTTATTGTTATTATGATAGAATAATTAATAAAACATGATTACACTTAACTAATATAAAATGTAACGGTTTAACTAAAAAAATGGGGAAAAAAGATTTGTCATCTGCATTAATTTGATATCATGAAATTATATAGATATATATAATTTAAAAGTTATTGAACCAATTATAAATTATAAATCAAATATAATAATGCATAAGACACTTTCCAATTTTGTAAATAAAATAATTGTTTAATAACAATTAAATTGTTAACAGTCGATTTTATTTTTTTAGTTTCTATGTACAAAGTCAATAATATGCCTAATCTATACTAGTTATCGAGTTTAGTTAGAAATAGGGANTTTTTTTTTTTTTTGAAACGATAGATTTATAGATAAAACAACACACTAATACAACTAAAACAATTAGAATAAGCCAAACAACCATCTACCTGAATCTAGGGAGACAACCGTCTATAGACTACTCTAACTCACCCAACAACACAAATAACTTAACAAACTAAACAGATCCCACAAGGGATAATCCAACTTCTACAAAGGAGAATAACACAAAATGACTAGAAAAAACACAAAAACACAACACACAACACACAACAAACACGAACAAAATAACACAGAACAACACCCTCTGCTCCACAGGCGAGACAATCTGCGGCTCGACACCCAGAGACAACTGGCCACTCGTATATGACTCTGGCTCGAGCAATACTCCAGAAACTCCAGTGTAGCCACGGCTAGCTGAAACGGCACGAGACGCCCAAAATCTTCTCCTAAACAGACACCTTTGGAGCTGAGACCGGACCGGCAGACGATCCCCCACCCCACCGACAGCACTCGAAACCCAATCGACCTAATCAACCGCACAACCAGCCTCCAAAGCCTCACGTCAACCTCCCGACCAAGCCCGCCCCAGCAAAGCCCCATAAGCTCAACCACCCGATCAAGGTCAAACCACCAAATCAGAGCCTGAGAGACTGAGAGAGGGGAGGGGTAGTCTTACCTCAATCCCAACCAACGCCTTGAAGGCGGGTCGGAGCCCGACGAGCTTGCCCGACTTGGAAACCGAAAATTCCCGTGCTGCTGACATAGGCGCCTTAGAAGATCTGGTGAGTCTTACACCGACGGGGTCTTCGGCTCCAAGGGAGGCGAGCTTCACTGCCAGCGGCGACCGGAACCGGGCCACACGGAGAGCCCTGTGAAGAGGAGGCGTCGGCGACGATGATGGAAGACACTGTGAGGGCTAGGGATTTGAGGGAGAAATTTTTTAGTGAGAGAAATTGTTTCTGAAAAAATAAAAACGCACGTGCACGTGATGTAGTTAGAAACGGTCGTGTGACTCTGTCTTAAATTAATACACGAAAATTATGAAGTTTGTTCTGTTCATTTTCGATTGTTGTCCTTGTCTCCGGGCAAAAATGAAGCAATAAACTTCATCATGTGTCTAAATATAGTACTTGACATCTGTTCGGGGCAAAAGGTAGTAGTAGTATTGTCATGAACTCGTACATCCATTTCAAGTCCATATCTCAATTTTAGAACCATACATTCGTAATAAATTGCTATACAATTAGCACACCTTAAAATTAACAAAACTTAATGCAAGTAAAACTACGAATTCGCAGTTAATTAATTAATCAAACAGAGAGCTACCGTACTATTTTCCCCATCAAGCATTTCGAACAGAGTCCGTCCACCTTCAAATCATCTCATCTCACAGGTCTGATTATTAATCCCAAAATCCCAACCCAAAAAAATTAAATACGTAATAAAAAATCCACTCACGATATTAATTCAGACACGATCTCCCTCCTCCACCTGGACATCATCCTTTGGATCCGCCTCCGCCTCCGCCGACGATCCCTCATCATCATACTTCCCCAAGTGCCAGGCCAGCACCGCCCTATCCACGCTCTCCCCTTTATCCGCCTTGCACACAAAATACGCCACCGTCTGCGCCACACTCCCAACCAAAATCGCCACCGTCACCACCACAACACACACCGCTCCCAACCCCACCTCCATCCCCACGCGCCCGCTTCCCCCCCACATCACAAAAAACATAAACCCCACATTCACCCCAATAATCACCGCGTCCACCCCCACAAGCACAAAACACAACTCCATCATCCTCCCTTTCGCCAGCCTGTTCCCCTTAACCACAGCCCCGAACCCCCTCCACCCCTCCAGCACACACACCACGCCCGCCAGCTGGCACGCGATAATCAGCTGCACCAACCCGATAGTGTGCATCATGAGAACGAACAAGTAAGTGACGCCGCCCCAAAACATGAAGTAAAAGGCTCCGAAGGGGATGTTGTAGGCGGCCAAGGAGAGGACGGCGCATACGAACGCGACGGCCAGACGGGGCCAACAGACTCGGGGGACTGCACGCGTGATTTTCGAGAAGGAGAGGTCTCGGGAGGCGTAGTGGGAGGAGACGGTGTAGATGACGGCGGCGGTGGAAGGGAGGGAGAAGATGAGGAGGGTGAGGATGAAGTAGAGGAGGTGGAGGGCGATGTAGGCGGGCAAGCCGAGGTTGTGGAGGTAGTGGATTTTTCGGTAGAGGAGGTCGGAGATGTGTTTTTGGGAGAGGAAGATGAGGGAGAGGGGGAGGATTAGGGTTAGGGTTATTTGGGCGAAGATTTTGCGGAGGTTGAAGATGAGCTTGAAGCTCTCCTTGTAGATGCCGATGACGCTCAGGGAGTGCATCTCCTCCAGATCTCTCTCCATGGTGATAGGTGTGGTCACGTGGACTGAGTTTTGCTCCATGGTGATAGGTGTGGTGTGGACTGAGTTTTGAGTTTTGTGTGTGATTATGGATTTGTTTACTTGTGCATGTCTCTTTATATAGTAATGAGTGGAGAGGGAATTGGTTAAATGACCTCTTAACAAGAACATATTAATATATACGAATCCTTAGGGGTGACTTGAACATAATGTTATTAGGGGTGACTTACCACGTCGCGTTTTGATTTAGTGTTCGTTCGGCCTGGGCCTCCTTTTATTGTTAAAAAATAAAAAAATTACATACATTACAAAATTACTAGTATATATTCCACTTTTCTTCCAACTTACATCTAAACTCATTCTCATTAGAGCATCTCTAAATTGATGGTCTTCAGTATTGAATGGAAGGACATATTTCTAAATAATTCTCAAAATACTATAAATTATACTTGTACTGAATCAAACTTCATTGGATCAACGCTAATATTTATTTTTTGAAAAGCTATCACCGACCCTCTAAACTGATATTATTTTTGTATCGGTATTTTTTGTAAGAGTATCATTTATTCTTCATATTATTTTTGTATCGGTATTTTTTAAGAGTATCCTATATTCTGGTATAGAGTATCCTATATTCTGGTATTTTTTAAGAGTATTCTGATATATATTTTTTGAAGAGCTACCACCCACATACTTTTTTTGTCTGTACACATGTTTTTTTTTCTTTTNCAAAAAAAAAAAAAAAACTTGCTAGGAAAATGTCGAACATATTTGAACCAATCACAATATTTATGTACTATAATAATTTTCGTACGGAATAATAGCTTCGATGGTATATAAGTCCCATATTGATTTTTCGAATAGCTTGTTTGAATTGCTACCACCTATCAACACCCAACTGATATTCATCATGTATTTTTGTATCATGTATTAATTTTTCGAATAGTATCTTCACCTAATTAAATATTTTAATTAAAAATAAAAAAATAAATATGACAAAAATAAAAATTGACTCATAAAATCTAATGATATTCATCAGTTATTTTTATCAGGTATTTTATGTATTTTTGTATCAGGTATTTTCAGCGCATGTACCTAATTATATAAACTGATCATCAAATCTAGAGGGTGATATTCGTATTTTTTATTAATTAAGGTAATATTCATCAGGTATTTTTTTATTAAGTACAAACAAAATATTTAGTTTAGAAGACCTTTCAGATGTAGAAAGACGTTGAGAAGTTTTGCGTCTCTCATACCAGATCATCACATGGAGAAGTAAAAAGCTCACCATTGGAGACGTTTTTTTTTTATCTCAATGCCTCTACAATTCAACAATTGACATTCCACTGGAAATGCTCTTAAACCCTCGAGCAAAACATTTCAGAAACAAAAAAGAACGCGACAGTCTCGCCCTCTCACGCAGTCACAATCGCACTATAGCCCTCTCGCGCTCCCACTCTCACTCTCACGCAGTCACAATCGCACTATAGCACTGCCCTATCAACGCTCTCCCCGTGCCCCGCCTTGCACACGAAATAAACCACCGTCTGCGCCACAATCCCAAACAAAATCGCCAGCATCACCGCCACCACACACACTACTCCTAACACCACCTCCATCAGCACGCACCCTCTGCCTCCGCACCACGTCACCAAAACCACAAACCCAACATTCACCCCGATAAACATCGCGCCCAGCACCACAAACACAAAACCCGCTACAAACGTCCTCCCATCTGCTAGCCCATCCCCTTGCCCATAGCTCCACACCCCCTCTTCTCCTCCAGCACCGACACCACGCCCGCCAGCTGGCACACCGCCATCAGGTGCACAAACCCCGTCATGTACACCACGGAAACCACCACGAGAGGCCCGATGTCTCCCCACGACATATAGAAAAATAATCCAAAGATAATGTTGTAGGCGGCCAAGGCGCGGACGAACGTGGCGGCCAGACGGGTCCAAACTCGGGGGACGGCGCACGTGATTTCTGGGAAGGAGAGGTCTCGTGAAGGGGAGGCGTAGGTGCAGGCGACGGTGTAGATTACGGCGGAGGTGGAGAGGAGGGAGAAGAGGAGGGTGAGGATGAAGTAGAGGAGGTGGAGGGTGAGGTAGGCGGCCTGGCCGAGGTTGTTGAGGAATTGGATTTTTTGGTAAGGAGGTCGGCGATGTGGTTTTGGGCGAGGAAGATGATGGAGAGGGGGAGGATTAGGGTTAGGGTTATCTGGGAAAAGATTTTGCGGAGGTTGAAGATGAGCTTGAAGCTCTCCTTGCAGATGGCGGTGAGGCCCATGGACCGCATCTCTTCCTGATCTCTCTCCATGCTGATAGTGTGGTGGTGTGGACTAAGTTTTGAGTGTGATTATTGATTTGTTTACTTTGTCATGTCTCTCTTTATATAGTCATGAGTGGGGAGGGAATTGGTCGAAATGACTGAAATGACCTTCTTAAAAGAACATCTTTCATATAAGTCTATAACAAAAAAAAAATACTAAATTTAAATACAAATTTTATAAATTACAAAATTACTAGTATATATACACTTCACTTAATTTCCTTCAAATCAAAAATAAAAAAGAGCGCGACACTCTCTCGCCCTCTCATGCAATCCCGGTTGCCCCTTCGCTCTCGCCTTGCAAGGTATCGCTCTTGTTTTGCAAGGTATTTGATAAAATTTCCTTATAGTGTTGCTCTTTGATTTTAGTGCCTCGGGTGACGATTAGGGATGGCAATTTGGCCGGGACCCAGTCTGGCCTGGCCCGACCTGCAACCTTTGGGGCGGGTTGGACCTGTCTCGTTATCAAAACGGGCCAGGTCGGGTCTGGCACGTTCCATAAACGGGCTAGGTCCGGGGCATAACTATTGGCCCGCCCCAATCTGCCCCGCCCTGGCTCGACCTGGCCCACTTCATAATGTAGTAAAATTTTGGGTTTAAGGGCCTAAGACACATTATGTTACACACTGCCCACAAACTCTCCTAAGCACATTACACACGGCCCACTAAGGGCGTGATTGTATATAATTTATACAGTAAATATCCCACTCAAAACTCAAACTTAACTCAACTCAACTATCTCCAATATTAACAATATAATTAAATAATATCAACCAATCATTATTACACATCATGTCAACTTTAATTCACTATTCACTCACTCACATAATTTTAACTAACCATCACTTCCAATTATTTTCTCATACTTTTACATCAAATCAACTTTAATTATTTTAATTTAAATATTATTTTAATATATCCACTAACAACTAACCATACTATTTTTTTTTTTTCAAATTTAACTATGTTAAAAAAAAAAAACTAATTTTTTACTAGTTGAATTCATATCCAATCACCCCCTAA